GATCAGTTTTAGGGGAAAGTGATCTACCCTCCATGTGGCCGTCCTTGGGTGAACTTTTCAACAATCTCGCTTTTTATGCTCTTTCACTGATGAGGAAACCTGCTGTCTTGTTGGGGCCAAACTATTGTCTACTTTCTCCTTGGACCTCATTTGACTCTCAATGAAGCTTTGCTCAAGCCAAAGCTTGTTCCTTTTGAAAAAAATTGAGAAAGAAAAAAAATTAGCTCAAACCTAGAAGATTGATTGTATAACTACATGATAATTTTGAAAATTCTTTATTGAAAACCTTATACCTGAAGATTGCTTAGCTTTTCTAGTTTCTGGGGACACATTGAAAACTTCAGTTCTTCTAGAGAGTTACTGGGCTATTTTTTTTTAAGATACCAAATCTCTATAAAGTTTTTCTCTGATTATTATGGAAAACAACACATGTGGAAAGAAGTAGGAAGTTAGAGGTGGTAAATAGTTTGACTATTGCCTTCTGACTAGAAGCCCTAGGAAAACTACTACAGGAGATTAATTTTGCTCTTGAAGTTTTTGTAGGTTTCCATTAAGAAAAAGAATAATAATAGGGGCCTAGAGAGATGACTCAGAGGTTAAGAGCATTTATGTTTTTTCCCAGAAGACCTGAATTCATTCCCCACTACCATGTTGGATGGCTTATAGTCACCTGTACGTAACTCCAACTCCATGGGGTTCAGTGCTGTCTTCTGGATGGACTCTGCAGGCAACTGCACTCACATGCACATACACCTAGATGCAAGAACATACACATAATTAAAAATAAAAAATAAATATTTTTCTTTGATTTTTGAGACGGGATCTCCCGGTAGCACCAGCAGGCCTGGAACTCACTATGTAGACCAGGCTGATCTCAGTCTCACTGAGATCCACCTGCCTCTGCTTCTGCCTCTGCCTCCTGAGTGCTGGGATTAAAGGCACTACTGTTAAATGCACCACTATGCCCAGCTTAGAAATAAAAATAAATTGAAAAAAGGAAAAAACAAAAGGCTGGGCATGGCAGAGTACACCTATAACCCCAATGCTCAGGAGGCAGCAGAAGAAGGATCACTTCAAATTCCAAGACAGCATGGACTACATAGTGAGTTTCAGGCCAGCCTGAGCTACATAGCAAGACTGTCTCAAAACAAAACAAAATGCCACCAACAAAAAACCCACAAAGAGCCCCTAGGAACAGCATGGAATAAGTGTTTCCTCACTCTAGGGAGAGGATGAAGGGGGTTTTGTGGCAGCAGAGCCCCCCTCTTTCTTGAACAGTGACTATGAGCTAAGCATCTGTGGTTTGATGCTATTTCTCTTGCACAAAAATGTATATAAACATTTAAAAGCTGACTCCAAAAATGATAATGAGTAATTGCAAATGTCTATACTTTGCCTTCAATGCAGAAAAAAATTATTGAAAAAAATACTTCTTTTTTTCCTGGTATTATTGAGGTGTAATTAACAAATGAAAGGCTGTATATTGAAGGGATGCTATGGTTTCCACTCTGTATCTGCTGTGAAGGAGTCACCACCACTGAACTGACAGACACCTCTGCACCTCACACGCTTAGCACCTTTCAAATTTTCTATTGATTCTTTGAGAATTTCATACAATATATTTTATTCAGACCCCTCCCACCTCCACCCTCACAATACTACCCCCCTACTTTATGTTCTCTATTATTTTTAAAGGCCCATCAAGTCTAATTTGTGTTTCTCTAAAGCTCCCCCCACACACACACCTAAAGCTCTTAAGTGTGTGTCCATCTCTTAGAGTCTGGTCAACCTACCCAGTATTACACACTCAAAAACAAAAAACAATAAACAAAAACAAAAACTGATTCCCTCTCTCCCAGCAGCTATCAATTGCCAAAGATCCTCAGCTAGGCCTGGGGCTTCTTGCCTACCTCTGCCATCCGTGCTGGGCTTTTGTCATACATCTTGTGCACACTGTCACAAGCGCTGTGGGCTCATATGTACAACTGCCCTGTGGTGTCCAGACAACATGGTTTCCTTGTATTCATCTATCACCTCTGGTTCTTACAATCTTTCCACCCCGTCTTGTTTTCTACAATGATCCTCGAGCCTTGGGAGGACAGCGTGTGATATAGGTGCCCCATTTAGGTCTGGGCACTCCAAAGTCTCCCCTTCTCTGCATGCTGACTAGTTATGGGTCTCTGTTAAGCACCATCTGGTGCAAGAAACTTCTCTAGGTGTGAGTTGAGAGATACACTAATTCATTGGCATAACAAGAAGTCATTAGGAATCAATTTGATACTATTCCTATTTAGCATTTATGATCTACTCTGAGAAAATTCCACATACACAATTAATTCATTAATTAGTCACCATGCTATGCATCAGATCTGTAAAACTTTTTGTCGTTCAGAATTGACCTTCTATATCCTTTCACCAACTTTTCCCAGATCCCTTTCAGCCCTAATCCCAGGCAACCACCATTCTGCTTCAAGCTAGTCAACCATCCTAGATTTCACATATGAGTGAAATCACGTGGCATTTGTCTTTCTGTGCCTGGCTTATGTGACTTACCATCATGTCTTCCAGGTCCGTCTGTGTTGTCACGACTAGAGAAATTCTTTCTTTTTTTGGTCTTTTTGAGACAAGGTTTCCCTGTAGCCCCAGCAGGCCTGGAATTCACTATGTAGACCAGGCTGACCTCCGTCTCACAGAGATATGCCTGCCTCTGCCTCCTGAGTGCCAGTATTAAAGGTATGTACCACCACACCTGGCTCCAGAAATTCATTTTTTAAATGTGTATATACTTCATTTTCTTTATCCATTCATCCACAGGTAGAAACTGGGTTCACGTTCACTACACACACCACCACCACCACCACCCTTTTCCTTTTTCAAAGACGTAAACCATTATAACACATCAAGGGACATTGTTGCTAGTTTCTTCATTCATCTTTCTTCTCCTGCCCAGGCCCTGCTGTCAGATTTAAAGGGGATCCAATAGCATCTACCAAACTTTACTCTAGAAGTCTCAATAAAAATTTTCACTGACACTAGGCTCCAATGGATAGTTCCAAAGCCATGGTCACACAGCTGGCACCGGTTAAACTCAGTGGGTCATAAAACAAAAAGATAGATATCAATGTGGGGAAAGGGACATTAGGGGGTGTTGACAGAGATGGGAGGGAGTTGAGAGAGAATAGAGTGAGTATGATCACAGTGCATTAGATCCATGTATGATATTTTCAGGGAACAAATCCAATAAAAGTTATAAAAAATATTTCCACTGAACAGCAAACAAAATGTGAAGATCCCTGGAACCCCAGGTACAGGGAAGATGCAGTGTCTGCCTCCCACTCTCCTGGCTCGACCCTTGAGTTCAGCTCAGCCACAGATGGTGACACATGAACAAAGCTGGGGGCCAGGGAGCAGTAGAGAGGAAAGGGTTGGAAGGGTCAAAGGGCCAGGAGAGGCAGCAGGTTCTTTTGGAGGGTTTTATTAGCAGATATTAATTATACACAATGTTTCATTATGTCATTTCTATATAGCTGTATTTTGGTCTTATTAATCCCATTATCTCCTTATCTGCCTCTTGCCGCCACTGATCTCCTTTCTGTTTTCAACTCGTGACCCTTTTTCATGCTGTGTGTGTGTGTGTGTGTGTGTGTGTGTGTGTGTGTGTGTCTGTGTGTCTGTGTGACCCAGTGAGTTTCATTAGGATTTCTTGCTTAAGGAACACAGGTACCTTACTAACGACTACACAGCAGAAGAAAATGTCTCTCTCTCCAGCAACCATTAACTGCCTATGGCTAGGGAGGCATCAGACCTCACGAGTCCCTCCCCCTTCCGTGACAAAATATTCAGGGGACAAATCATGTGCGGGTTCTCATAGTTGCTGTGAGTTCAAAAGTTCGGTAGCTGTATCAAGCCTGGAAGACAGTGTTCTACAACACTCAGCCCCATTCTCTGACTTTTACATTGCTTCCACCCTCTCCTCTGTGATGCCCTGAGTGTTGGGGGTTGGTGGTGTGACACAGATGTCCTGCTTCCTGGTGAACATTCAAGTCACTTATTCACAACACTTTGACCAGTTGTGAGTCTCTGCAGTTACCACTACTTACCACATAAAGAAGCGTCCCTGACCAAAGCTGATGGAAGCACAGTTCAGTGGCCATAATCATAAATACTTAGACGCTATTTAGCATAAAACAACAGGAACTTCCCCACTAGAGCTTATGACCTCCCAGTCACCGGCTTTGGCCAGGTTTATAGTACCGGGCATGAATTCCCTCCTGTGGAGCAGACCTTGATTCTAATCAGAAAGTGATTGATTACCCTTATAGCAATCATCCCCATATTCTACCAGCAGGCACATTTTGCCTGGCCAGTCAGTGCAGCATGCAGGGTTCACAGCTGAGTAAGACACTTACCAACAGTTCTCCCCTAGCAGTGCCCATAGTACCTTCCAGCACTACGAAGCATCATTAGTGAGGAGGAAGCTTCTATCTCAGTGCCAGCTTGATTCTCTGTCCTATGAGCGGAATCTGTGGTGTCTTCACCGATGGTCTTACCATCTCGTTCTGGTGGGCAACCAACTGCATTGTTTGTGGCTCTCAGGGGCCTCCCTGACCAAGAACACATAGGGAGGTAGTGGGTAGCAAGTTCTTGCTCAAAACTTTATTCATTCCACACCTTTCTGCACATCATACTCCTTTTTTTTGCTGATGAGGAAACCTGGGACCAAGAGTCTTTAAGTAACTTGGTCTCATCCAAATTATTTCTTCAACCAACCACCAAAACTACAGTATTTAAACTGAATACAGCATAAGGATTCTGCGTCTTCTCAGGTGAAAGGGAGGATTTCAGACTCAGTGTCCCTTCTTCAGCCCCTGGGTTCCGCTCATCCATGCTGGTAACTTGTAATTGGTTTGTGAGGTAAAACGGGGGAACGTTCATGAGATGAGCCCGTGGCACTTAGTCAAGTAACAATAGTTGTCACTCTCTCTTGTTTAACCCTATAGTGGAGTACGACAAGGAGTTCTCCCCTCGCCAGCGACACCACAAAGAGTTCAAGTTCAACTTATCCCAGATTCCTGAGGGTGAGGCGGTGACGGCTGCAGAGTTCCGCATCTACAAGGACTGTGTTGTGGGGAGTTTTAAAAACCAATCTTTTCTTATCAGCATTTATCAAGTCTTACAGGAGCATCAGCACAGGTATGAAGGCTCAAGGAAGCCCAAAAGGTGGGGCTGGCCCCCACTTCTCACTCTCTCTCATATGACCTCAAGTATCTGTGGAAGGTGATTTGGAGTTCATGGGCAATCCTTGAACACGAAGAACCAGGTGTTCTGAAGGGTAGTGAGTGTTTAGCTGGCAAGATAATTTGCCGTTAAGTTGATTTTTTCAAATAGGCATCCTTTGCTGAGCAAGCCAATGAGTATTTCTTACTAAGCATCCTTAATGATCAGCCGACTCTGATCTATTGGGATAAACTGCTTCCCACTGCTTTTTGATTTCCAATTTCAATGATGGGTGAAGGTGGATGAAATTAGAATTATAGAATTATAGAATGATGCTTATAAATTATTCTAAGTCAGGTGACTGCAAGGCTGTGTATTTGTTCATGTAATTTACATACATGTTTATCTTTGAACATATATATTTACATTTGGATATAAGGGAAAGATGGATTACTTTTTCTTTCATATGTCTGTGTTATTATTGTTTTCTGAAAATGAGTCCAGACTAATTTACACAAAAACTGTGCTGAAGTATAGTTGTGGGGCTGCCTAGTGATAAATAAAAACATCTGCACCAGCTGTTAAAGGGTGGGAAGGGCAGAGGATGCAGCATTAACATCAGCTAGCTCAAATCTTTAGTACACAGAAAGGAAACCAAACTCTGTGAATTTTGTTGCGTATGTAGGGGTCAGTTTAGTACATTACTAGGGGAGAACAGAATATATGAAGTGTAGATTGGCATCAGTGTGTATAGTACAGCAATGTGCACAGGGTTCGACTTCAGCCACTGACATTACTGCAGCAATAACAACGGCAGATTCAAAGATTAGAACAAAAGGAAGAAATGCCTAGGAGGAGGTAACCCCACACTTCCAGACTCAGATTCCTCATTTTTGTGCTTGCTTCGGGCTTTTTTTGAAACAGGGTCTTGCCATGTAGCTTAGGCTGCCCAGCAGTTTCCTTTGGTTTCAGGAACCAAATCTAAATTGTTGCTTTGGGCCTTGGAAGTCTGTTGACTCCCTAAGAGGTTCCAAAGACTCTGGAGTGACTTTGGTTTCTTCTGAATGTATCGGATTTGTGTGTGGGTCTGTCACAAGCATGCCTGGTGAGATCAGAAGGAGGGGAAGCTTGCTCTGGGAAAGTTTGCTTCAGTTTTGAAAATCCCACCAGCATCTGGCCCTTGGGCACTCTCCAGTCTGTCCTAGGGGAACTAAAAGGATGGGTAGATGCCAGGCACTGGGGACACATGATGGTGATGTGCACACACACACACACGCACACACACACACACACACACACACACACACACACACTGAAGGCTGTAGGTGACTTCTTAACTGGCACAGAAAAATAATAAATTAAATATAGCCATTGAGGCATGGTAACAATGGGCCTAAATTTCAGAACAAGGAAGCTCTCTGGTGTCTGATTTTCCCTCTTAAATACAAATGTATTTGATGGCTTTCCAACAGAGGGCCTGTTTGGAAAGTCAGATCATTAACTGGTAGATTTTAGCCTTGTGGAGAGAATTAGTATTCAGTGATTCTTTGGCCCTGCTTTAGCCAATGACTTTTCAAACTGCCTTAGTATTTATTCCATTCTGTGTCTCTTGTGGGAGTACCTGCAGGTATCTTCTTGGCTCAGAAATGGTTTTCCTTCTCCTGCAGGAGCAGTTTTATAGGAAAAAAAAAAACCACTGGACTAGAAGTACAGTAACTGTAGAATGTATTCAAATTACTTTTTTTTAAAAAAAGCGCTAGCAGAATCCTTGTGTGATTTATACTGAGCTCTAGCCAAAAAGGAACACCTGCCTTACTCTTAGGATGGTGGGGAAGTATGTCCTCCAGGCCAGCACTGAGTTTGGAAAACAAAATCCGATGGTCTTAACTTCGGATGGCTCTGTATCAAAGCAGGGAGCTGTCGGCTGGTCTTCTACAATGGAAGCATTTGGCAGTTGGATGTGTTTAATTTGTGTGCACCAGAGAAGGAGAATCCTGGGAAACTTGGGAGACTTTCATGCTTTTGAAGGGCTCCAGGTTGGCTGGGGGAGGTTTTCTTATCTGTGGGCCAGGAGCCCAGGCCTCCTGCTACTTCCAAATGTTCTTCCACAGGCCTCCAGACTTAGCTGCAGGGATCCTGTGGAAGCTTTGACCTCCCCATCTGTCCCGTCTTGGGGTGTCTTGGCTGAAAGCGCCTTTTCCAAGCATAGTGGAAACTTATTTGTCTAATCTGTGCTGAAGTGCAATTTGTAGCATTTGCTATGTTCACTTAATTAAACAAATGTCTGTGCTATAAAACAATTGACCTCCTCAAAAAGGGAAGAAAATCAGGTTTTTATACGCTAATTCAGCTAAGGGCAGAAGTTTTGGTGTGTTGGGTCGTCTGACATAAAAGGCAGTGGGGAAAGCTGGTCCAGAGAGGGCGAAGCTTCTGGGAAGACAGGCCTTGCTATATCATCTGTAGAAACGTGCTAGTCTGGCTGATAAATAATTACAGCAGGTAAGTTTAAAACAAAGGAAGTAGCTACTTTTTAAAAAACTTTTTTATTTTATGTGTATGAATGTATTGCCTGCCTGTATGTAAGTGCACCCATGTCGTGCAATGCCTGCAGAGGTCAGAAGAGGGTGTTGGATCCCCTGGAACTGGAGTTATGGATAGTAGTTACCATATAGATGCTGGAAATGGGACCTGGGTCCTCTGCAAGAACAGTTAGTGCTCATAACCACTGAGCCAAATCTCTAGCACCAAGAAGTAGCTCCTTAAATCAAGAGTGCTTACTAAAATCAGAGAAACATAGTACTTGACCTAAAGTTGAGAATGAGTCCTGAGATGGAACACAAGTCATGGGAAGAGCTCAGACTACAGAGAGCAGCTCAACCACTACTACTAAGTGCAAGGTACATGGAATGCCCTTTGTATGTTAGTCTCTTTAAAAATGTACTTAATGGTGGGCCAGCAAGATAGCTCAGTGGGTAAAGGTGTTTGCCATGCTAGCCTGGTGAGCTGAGTTCAATCCCCAGAACCCATGTAAAGATAGATAGAGAGAACCAGCTCCATAAACCTGTCCTCTGACCTATACACAACACACACAATAATTATAATAGAATTTAAAATTGCTCAGTGATTTTGCAAATGTTTACATTTTAAGAGGAGTTTAATGGACTAGAGGTTTAGCTCACTGTAGTGCCCTGGCCTAGCATGTTCAAGCCCTGGGTTCCTTCCCCAGGACTTAAAAAAAAGAGAGAGAGAGTAGATGGGAGGGTAGGGACAGATCTGAGAAAAGTTAGAAGTGGGTACCAATATAATCGAAATACATTGTATGCAAAATACATGTATGACATTCTCCAAGAATTAATAAAAACATTATATAAATAAGAGAAAGATTTGTTATTATAAATCATTATTTGCTTATGACAACACTGGTGAAATCTGCATTTTATATAGAATTAACAGTGTGGAAAAGGCCTTCAATTATAGCCTCTCACTAGGATTTCCCCCTGATCCATCAGATAGTTGGGGAAAGCATGAGAGAATAAAGCCCAGCACATTTGAATTTTACCATGGCCTAATAATGCCTGCTATTTTTTTTGTTTCTTAGAAGTCACTCCTATGACTTGGAGGGCAGCCCTAAGCTAAATGTGATCCCCAGGAGGAAGTAAGCAATTCCCTCACTCAGGGCATGTCCTGAGTGGTCTGCGGCAGTCCCCAGGTTCAGTCTCAGGCTGGATTATGCCTCCATCCTTTGAGCTTGGATGTGGGCATCCCAAGAATGCTTCGGCCTGTTCCTATTGGTGGTGGAACATGTCTGTTAGAGGTGAGGCCTAGGTCTTCCTAAAGAAAGCCTTCCCATACCTGTGTTGTTCTCTTGATCAACCACTGATCCATCAACATGTTTTCAAGAGTAAAGGAAAGAAGGGGAAGACACCCAGAATAAAATTATGGAAATTATTTCCACTCTTTCACAATGTTACCATTGTCCATTTACCTCTTTATTATCATCTTCTGTATGACATACATATAAGCTGCCTTCACACTCAGAGTGCAGTTGTAGGCTCCTCTGAATTCCTTTTGACTTTCCCTACTTATGCAGAGTAACATGATGGTGTATGTACCATGTCACTTTTCACATGGTACCATGACTCATTTCTACCAAATCTGTATTGGTTGTTTTTCTTGTTGCTGTAATTTAAATTTAGGGAAGAAATGGTTTATTTTAGCTCACGGTTTCATAGTCAGGAAGCATGGTGGATTCATCTGTGCTGGGAGTTGGGGTACAGTTTGCTATGTTTCCACAGATCAGGAAGCAGAGGGAGACTCTGAGGGGAACTAGGACCAGGCTATCACCCTTAAGCCCACCCCCAGTACCTACCTCCACTAGGCCTCACATCTGTAAAGCTTCTATAACCTCCCAAAACAGTGCCACCAGCTGGGGGCCAAGTGTACAAACATGTGAGCCTGTGGGAATATTTCACATTCAAGTAATACCAGCATCTTTAGATAAATAGGATAATTTTGAGACCTTTAAAGGCAGTTATTTTTATCTACATTCTTTATTTAGCCAAAGGTATTCTTTTCCTGTTCTTAACCGAATTTTATATTCCTAGAAGTCAGAGATTCTCTTGAAAACCAATCATAAACTTTAACAGAGATGTTCAGTTTCTAAAGTGTGGCTGTTCTGTTCGTGAGGTGGTCGTTTTATTTCTGCTAGTTTTGATCTTCCATATCTTCTCTGTGTTTGGGGGTTCCATTGCTTGGTAATGATGGCCCATTTTCTGTGCATACTATAACATTTCTTTACCATGTTCCATCATGGCGCAGATTTTTGGAAGACTTTAAAGTAAGAAATACCAAATTTAAAATACATTTTCTTCTGGTATAAACAATACCAAAACATACTTCTCCATGTGTATGTATTATGTATGTATGTATATAATATGTGTATATATGTATACACATATACATAGTTATGTATAGAA